TGGGACTGGGACTCGGAACAGGACTGGGACTGGGACCGGGACTGAGAACAGGATTGGGACTGGGACTCGGACCGCGACTGGGACTAGGATTGAGAGGATTGGGACTGGGACTCGGAACAGGACTAGGACCGGGACTGGGACTGAGAGCGGGATTGGGAATGGGACTCGAACCGGGACTGAGACTGGGATTAGGATTGAGAGCGGGATTGGGACTGGGACTCGGAACAGGACTGGGACCGGGACTGGGACTGAGAATGGGATTGGGACTGGGACTCGGACCGGGACTGGGACTAGGATTGAGAGCGTGATTGGGACTGGGACTCGGAACAGGACTGGGACCTGGACTGGGACTGAGAGCGGGATTGGGAATGGGACTCGAACCGGGACTGGGACTAGGATTGAGAGCGGGATGGGGACTGGGACCGGGACTGGGACTGAGACCGGGACTGGGATTGAGAGCGGGATTGGGACTGTGACTCGGAACAGGACTGAGACCGGGACTGGGACTGGGACTGAGAGCGGGATTGGGACTGGGACTCGAACCGGGACTGGGACTGAGACTAAGATTGAGAGCGGGATTGGGACTGGGACTAGGATTGAGAGAGGAATTGGAACTGGGACTCAGAACAGGACTGGGACTGGGACCGGGACTGAGAACGGGATTGGGACTGGGACTCGGACCGCGACTGGGACTAGGATTGAGAGGATTGGGACTGGGACTCGGAACAGGACTGGGACCGGGACTGGAACTGAGAGCGGGATTGGGAATGGGACTCGAACCGGGACTGAGACTGGGATTAGGATTGAGAGCGGGATTGGGACTGGGACTCGGAACAGGACTGGGACTGAGAACGGGATTGGGACTGGGACTCGGACCAGGACTGGGACTAGGATTGAGAGCGTGATTGGGACTGGGACTCGGAACAGGACTGGGACCTGGACTGGGACTGAGAGCGGGATTGGGAATGGGACTCGAACCGGGACTGAGACCGGGACTGGGACTGAGAGCGGGATTGGGACTGGGACTCGAACCGGGACTGGGACTGAGACTAAGATTGAGAGCAGGATTGGGACTGGGACTCGGACCGGGACTGGGACTAGGATTGAGAGCGGGATTGGGACTGGGACTGGGACTGAGACTGGGACTGAGACCGGGACTGGGAATGAGAGCGGGATTGGGACTGGGACTCGGAACAGGACTGGGACCGGGACTGGGATTGAGAGCGGGATTGGGACTGTGACTCGGAACAGGACTGAGACCGGGACTGGGACTGGGACTGAGACTGGGACTGAGACCGGGACTGGGAATGAGAGCGGGATTGGGACTGGGACTCAGAACAGGACTGGGACCGGGACTGAGAGCGGGATTGGGACTGGGACTCGGAACAGGACTGGGACCGGGACTGGGACTAGGATTGAGAGCGGGATTGGGACTGGGACTCTGAACAGGACTGGGACCGGGACTGGGACTAGGATTGAGAGCGGGATTGGGACTGGGACTTGGAACAGGACTGGGACCGGGACTGGGACTCGGAACAGGACTCGGACCGGGACTGGGACTGAGACTAGGATTGAGAGCGGGACTGGGACTAGGATTGAGAGTGGGATTGGGACTGGGACTCGAACCGGGACTGGGACTCAGACTAAGATTGAGAGCGGGATTTGGACTGGGACTCGGACCGGGACTAGGATTGAGAGAGGAATTGGGACTGGGACTCGGAACAGGACTGGGACCGGGACTGGGACTCGGACCGGGACTGGGACAAGGATTGAGAGCGGGATTGGGACTGGGACTCTGAACAGGACTGGGACCGGGACTGGGACTGAGAGCGGGATTGGGACTGGGACTCGAACCGGGACTGGGACTGAGACGTAGATTGAGAGCGGGATTGGGACTGGGACTCGGACCGGGACTAGGATTGAGAGAGGAATTGGGACTGGGACTCGGAACAGGACTGGGACCGGGACTGAGAACGGGATTGGGACTTGGACTCGGAACAGGACTGGGACCGGGACTGGGACTCGGAACAGGACTCGGACCGGGACTGGGACTGAGACTAGGATTGAGAGCGGGACTGGGACTAGGATTGAGAGCGGGATTGGGACTCGGACCGGGACTGAGAGCAGGATTGGGACTGGGACTCGGACCGGGACTGAGAGCAGGATTGGGACTGGGACTCAGACCGGGACTGGGACTAAGTCTGGGACTGCTAAAGCACTGTATGACCACCCACATGCATAATGAGCTACCCAGTACCTCCCTATTTATCCTGTAAAACCTCCACGTCTGCAGCTAAAATGAACTAATTAAGTGAATCACGAACCAAAACCTATTTTAAATAACAAATTAAACTAAATAATCTGAATTTTAAGATTTAACTGAAAAAATACAGATGTTTTGGACACATTTCCAGATATTAAACAAAATAAATACTTTTATTTAAATTTGGTCCCAGTATATCTGGGTTGGAACCAGCAGGCTGCGGTTCTGTGGTTCTGAGTGGAGTCCGGCCTACAGCTGATGGGCTGTTTATGGCCCTGCGGGGCCCTCAGGGCCCCTGCGGCTCCGGAGCTTCAGGGAACACATTTGGACCCGGTCCAGATCTCCATCATCACTTTAATGTTTAATCAGGTCTGCAGTTCATCTGTACTTACCGAGCAGCTTCCGGTACTTTAACCCCCCACCCGGCCATAATGCATTAAAGGAACCGGGCCATTAAAAGCAGCCCAGAGACACAGACCCAGATGGTCCCAGCATGCTGGATCACACTCCACAGGTTCCTCCACAACATCTTCTTCCTGTAACACCTGAAGTTTCCAGAACCTGCAGATGGACTCAGTCAGGAACTCTCAGATTGATCCTTCCTGGGAAGGTTAGTTCTTCAGTTCTGCTCATCAGGTCCAGTCCAGATGAGTCCATGATCCGTTCCTGGATATTCTCCTCCTTGTCATCCATCCATCATCTCCGTTCCTCAGAGAAGGTTCTGCTCAGCCGGGCCGAGCTGCAGGATGGATCCCAGGAGGCGGGCTGTTTGTGATTACAGTAACGCTTTAATGACCGATGACATCAGGCTGTTAGTCGGACCATCTGCCTGCGCCCAGAGAGCATGAATTAATCATCAGAACATGAGGAGCTGCTGCGTTGGAAGCTCAGAGGGACGATCCGGACCTCAAGTCAATCTGAGCAGAATTCCTCCCAGAAGCAGCTTCACTCAGCATCATCAGACCACGGCGTCTAACCGGCTGCTGGTCGGAGAACCGGCCAGGCGAAGGGACTGATCTACCAACGTCTCCGTGACATTTAACCAGACGGTGGCCGCGCGTCTCAGCAGTGATCGCCATGACCTCCCAAACATGGAGGCCTCAGAGACCGAAAATGAACAGAATGTAGACTTTTATCTTCCGACAGGTTCTGTTCTGGGTTCTTTACTTCTGTCATGTTTGAACTGTTCATTTTGAAAAGTTAAAAATTTTGTTTTTGTTTTTATATATCAGTGATAGATAGTAATAAATACCCAAACAGCCTGTCAGAGCCTGCTGTAACCATTATAACATAACAGGTCAATTATTTTACGGGGTGAACGGTACTGAATCAATGTATCTATTTAAGCCGGACGTATACGGTACGATTTTTTGCACTTTTCAGGCCGATTCTCCAGTCGTGCGAGAATTTTTTCGATCGGTTTAGCCCTGATTAGCTGGGGCCGTTATTCAGGGTTTGGCATGACAGGTGATGTGATGACCCGAGGTCAGGAGGAAATCAGACATGTTTGATATTCAGTCGGTCTGCTGTTGATGCAGAGCTACGAAATCACTCGTCAGCAGGTGAATTCTAAAAACATTGTTCTACTAACGAGTAGGACCTGTTCATCATTATCTGCCTTCATAGGATGATGAACAGGTCGGGGTTAGAAAGGCAATATAGAAAATAACTGCAGTCAGTCAGACACTCAGTGTTTATCGTTTGATGGACGACAGAATCAACATGAGGAGGAACCCATGAAATGACGAACAGGTCCCACCTGTTAGGTTTTCAGACGTCCTCTTCACCTGCTGACAGACGACTTCACCTAAATAGATCCACTACCATTCAAGCTGTAACTAGTTTATCTTTGATTGACTGACTGGAAGACTGGTGCCAGGTGAAATCTGGCAGCAGGTAAAGATGAAGAATGCAAAGGTTCTTATAGATGGGACCTGTTCATCATCTCATGGGTTCCTCCTCATGTTGATTCTGACTTTTTACACAGTAAATACCGTCAGTTTCCAGTCGCTTTGGATGTTATCATCCCAATAGTCATTAGTGGTTATCAGTCCCATAGAATGGCTTCAGATTAGTTGGTTATCACTGAATGAATCCTGAAGTAATCCCTTTCCCCCCTGTGGAATTCATTTATCTATTTATGTGTAATCTGAAAATAATTTCCACACTTCAAAACTGAAATGATCAGCACGCCGCTCATATTAAACCTAAAACAAATATATCCCCGAGTTGCAGAATCCTTTCACCATAAATATTTAAATCTCTGAAATAATGCCAATCTTTAAAAAGATCCTCGTCAGACATGTAATGTTTTCTTTTTTAAACCTAATGTGTCTCATGGATGTAGTACATTTTTTATGTAAAAAACTACAAAAATCAGACTAAATCAGGAAATGAAACGTTGTGATTGGCTGTAAGGAGGGTGGAGACACTGAGTTTACTGAAGGAAACCTGCTGCTGACCAGGTTAGCTCTGGGAGGATGTTACTATGGCAACAGAAACAGGATGAGGAAACTTAGTGAAACAGAAAAGTCAGTTTCCCTGATTTCAGGTGTAGAAACCTTCGTTTTCGGTAAACCTGCTTTGTTAAATGGACCTCTGGTCTAGAAGATGTTTTTATTTTCATCATCCATCTAGAAAACTTTCTAACCTTTGGTGAAAATGAATAAAACCTTTAAAAGTCTTTGTGACGTTCTAACGGGTTCTGGAACTCTTGTACCAAGAAATAAGGACACAATCAGAAAGAAGGAGCCGGTTTATTAGCCCTCATATTAATCATCATGTGCCACAACAGTCCTGTGGCGCGGGTTCCGACATAACTCTCTGTCAATAGATTCTAATAGAAAAATCTGCAGGTTACAGTTAGGACGTCTGTCCATTAGAAAAAGAACAGAAACCATGAAACCAAACGCTCCCTTTCAGAGGTAAACCTCTGGACCAGGAAGCCTCTCGCCAGAGCCGACAGGTGCGCTCCTGTCTGGTTCTGATGGAGCCCCCCCCATCAAGCATCAGACCAGAGCCGGACAGCAGGCCAGCATCTGCTCCGGCAGTTTTTATAATTCTGTGGGGTCTTCAACCCCTTTAATGCAGCCCTCCGTGGCTCTGAGCGCCGCCGCCTCAGAGGAGCCGGGCGCTAAGAGCAGCAGGGAGAGCAGACGGAGGCGGTTCACCTAGCAGTCTTGAGGAAACAACACACACTCTCAGATTATTAAACAAAACAAGTGAATTAACAGAACAAAAAAAAGACATTTTAACTGGAGAGCACCCGCCAGAGTGGAAATTTACACAAACCAAAGTATCTCATTGACAAAAACTGAATATTAATACAATTTAAATAGACCCCTGAAGAGGAGAACTCATTATCGTCTTTATCATAATCACACATATAGAAAGCAACACCACTGATTCAATTGAAACTCAATAACAGCCAGATCTCCTAAAACAAGACAAACCTCTCTGTGGTCCGACGCTAACAGGGTTCAGCTAGCATTCACGAGTCCTGATAACAGAGCAAACCGCCGCACGGTGGCGGCTAACACGGTTCAGCTAGCATCCACGAGTCCCGATAACGGAGCAAACCGCCGCGCGGCGGCCGCAGCTACATCTCTATGACGACCAACTCATGAAAATGAGCAGATCTGTAATAAACGGTCAAACTATAGCATGCTAGCATAATCCAAGGCAGCCAACGCAACATGGGTGGCTAGCAAATCTGAAACGCGTTTAGAAAGATCTAAACACATGAATTTCAACTGAAAACATCAGGACTGACATGTAAAAAAAAACAAAAAGGAACAAGTCTTCAGATTTTCAACAGATTTTCATCAAATACGCTGAACAGTAAATTAGCAGAGTTTAGATAAGAAATGTCAAAAAATATATTTACATTTGTGCAAGTTTATGAAAATAACACAACAAATGCTTGTTTGAGGAACATTACCCAGCCTTAATAAACACACAACATACAGCTAAAACATAATCAGCACCGTTTGATACACGCAATGCTAAGCTAACCTCTTCCGGTAGCTAACGACATTTCAGCTAAATTCTTCTGGACTCGAACCATTTAAAGCAGACAGGAAAACTTCGGGCTCATGAAGTGGGTTTGGCAGCTTATAATTAAATTAAAACAAATTATTTCGGAGTAACATTAAATAACCACTAGAGCCGTTTCTACGGCGCCAATTTAGCGCCGCTTGTTTCAGGGTTTGTTTGATTTTCGACAATCCTAAAAAAAATGAATTCCTTTTTAATTTCAACATGGGCACTTTAAGGATAGGAGAAATGTTTTTTGTTGTTAGATGCTCGTTAATGACGTGTCCTTTGATGCTAACGACCAGGTTTAAAGATAAAAGATCGGCACTGAGGTCACGACACGTTTTTAGTTTCTCGTAAACTCTAAACTAATGACGCTGGTGACCTGGTGAATCTTTTTACATTTTAATAATTTTTAATTTGCAAGTTTGGGAGGATAAGGTGTGTGCTAGCCTAACGCAAACCCACGCTAGGCTAGCTACTTTCACGTAAATTAGTTAAGCTTTTTGTTAAAGTCAATGTAACACAACATACACAAAAAAATTTGCAAGTTAACAAAGAACATCAGGAAGTATTAAAACGCTGCTATCATTTGTTTGCTAGTTGTTGCTCACATTATCTGAAAATTAAATTCACGACATTTTTTATTTTGTGGTTTAACCACATTTTCGTAGTTTGAATGTAGAAAGTGTGTTTTTGTATAAAATGTGAGCTCATCATGTGACTGATGACATCAGACTGTGCTTAGCCGCCTTGTTTAATGGTCTCCTAGTTGGTGGTTTTGTTATTAGCTTATTAAAGATTGTTACACAAAGAAAAGCTTATATTTTGTCACTTCAAAAATGTTAAAAATAATTTTTTGGTAAATTGTTCATTATTATTGTTGACTGATACCAAATATTTCTTGTTCCACAACTTCCACGTTATCCAACAATGGAACAATTATGTAATTTGCTAGTTATGCAATTAAGCTACGGGATCAACGTAAATGATTTGGTTTGTTATTGTTAGCATTTGCTAATTGATCAAATGTCTGATGAGGCGGAGTCGTTATTTGCTGCTAGGTTCTTGGATTTTTAGCCGATAAAGTGTGGAGTTCTACCTCTAATGATAAATTGTGACTTTGTGTACGACGATAGCGTCGATAGTTTAGGTTTGAGGCTAACATATCAGATCAGTAGCATAAAAAATGTCCCCAGTTTGGCAGTTTGTTAGCAAGTTAAAACAGGATATCGGTAAATTTCACGGAGCGACGGAACTTTGCTTTATTATGTCAGCTTTCTTTAAAGTTGCATCAATGCTAAACAGTGTTTTACGATATTTCTACGTTAAAATGAAAATGATCAGGCTAACCTGATTACTTGGTTGACATACGGCGAGCGCGGCGTGGACATTAGCTTACAAAAACACACGGATTCATTCCCGCGTCCATTCAACCAAACGTCTGTAACATTCGTTCAGCCACTGGTGCGGCGGCGCCACCAACGTTAGCTAAAACACAACCAAGCGACGATTTTGTAGCAAACCCTCTGTTCGGCGGCGTCATCGTCAGGGTTTAGCTCCACGTTAACTGCCCAAAAACAAACAAACAAAGAAGAAGAAGGGCAGAACTTGCTGCAATAGTTACGCTTCGCCGTCTGAGAAAATGACCTCCAAATTGTAAGAAAGGTGGAGGCGTGGATCTGGGGAGCCGAACTGGATTTGACGGGTTGACCACAGAGAGATCTGGCTTCAGGTAATGCGATTTTCATCGCCTTCGTTTTATCATCTGAATAAAACCTAAAGAGACGGCTATTCATGAACAGGAAGAATTATCAAACTAAAGGAAACATCATTGCACCTCCAAGATGGCGACTAAACAGGTAAAATTAGATGGAGTATGAATAGACCCAGCGAGCAGAAATTTAGTACAAAATACAGGTTTATCTCAGACGGTAAAACATCACATTTCCATCCAACGCTATTAAAATATTTCTATGCCAAAATAAAAAAAATATATAACTGAGAGTCGACACACAATCTGACGCATGCTTTAAAACATCATAAACAAAATAATAATATATTGGATCTCCTTACTCAAGAATGCTAAGTCTTATACCGTTTATCAGAAAAATAAAACTAGACAAAATATAGATTATACTGGATTTGTTTGTTCAAAGCCACACTGATAGATCTTTAAGTTCAAGTTTGATAAAAAAAGAAAAACAGGTCTATGCTGTGGAGAGACCAGAGGCTAGTCCAAAAAAATCTGCCTGACAAAATATCAACTCTGTAAGGTTAAAAAACAGAAAGAAAAGAGTTTGTGATTTTTCAGTTAATCCTTAGTTTTTCTCTACAAAAAGGAAGAAAGAAGCGGCAGAGCGTTGCTTGGAAACCACATTTTGGTTGCTGTCAACGACCGTCCGAGGCCCGGAGCCCGCCATGAGGGAGCCTCTAGTGATCCTGATGGAGACACAGAGGGACATGGTGGTTTAGGCCGGTCCGGCGCGGCGAGGCGCGCTCACAGGGATGGTGGAGCTTCCTGTGTTACCTGGATCTGGGCGGGGTTCCACAGGTAGGGCTGCTGTCTGTAGTATTCTGCTAACACTGCAGTGTAGTCTGGCACCGAATTGGGCTGAGACGACTGACCTGCAACAGGAGAGCAGCGGTCAGCTGGTGGAGCATCTGAACACCTACCGACGGCCTTCAGGTTCAGCTTTAGGATTCAGAGGGTTTAGAAACAGACACAGGAATCTGCGATGAACAAGAGGACTGGAGCTCCGGACTGGGACCTGAGTCAGCAGACCTGGAGCTGAAGTTCAGGTTTACACTCCAGCCTGTCTGTCTCATTTCAATCTGACACGATTTTTGACTCAACACTCCACTGAGCAAAGAACAACCTTAGGTTAAAAAAACAAACATTTGTGGCGAAACATCGTCAGAACCTGAATCACCTCCTGATCCCCGAGTGTCTAAGAGGCAAAAAAGAACCTGAAAGGCTGGAAAATAAAGGACACTAAAGCAATGCTAGCAACTAGCTCTACCTGCTAATCCACAGGGAAGGATTTCTGAGAGTCAATAACTAGATGCAACCTGCAGGACTTCACCGATTCTTTTACAACACTACCTCATCCTGAGGAGCTTAGGAGCACCAAGGAATGGTTAAAATTACCTTTAGAAGCAATAAGTGATTCTAGAACACCCACCATTCAACACCAGGATGATTGACTCAACTCAAACCCTGATGTTGTTTCTGTATATGGCCTGTAAGCCAGTTCACATGCATTTCAACACAGGGGGGTCTGGACATTCTTGATCATGGGGTCTACCTCGCTTGGACCCCTTGTTAGTTGGGTGTAAGGTGCTTGAACCCTATTGTCTGGTGGTTTTATCTGGCTTGGACCCCGTTATCAAGGTCTACCAGGCTTGGAGCCCTTGTTAGTTGGGTGTAAGGTGCTTGAACCCTATTCTCTGGTGGTTTTATCTGGCTTGGACCCCGTTATCAAGGTCTACCAGGCTTGGAGCCCTTGTTAGTTGGGTGTAAGGTGCTTGAACCCTATTCTCTGGTGGTTTTATCTGGCTTGGACCCCGTTATCAAGGTCTACCAGGCTTGGAGCCCTTGTTAGTTAGGCCTACCTGAGGTGGAGCCCTTGTTAGTTAGGCCTACCTGAGGTGGACCCCTTGTTAGTTAGGCCTACCTGAGGTGGACCCCTTGTTAGTTAGGCCTACCTGAGGTGGACCCCTTGTTAGTTAGGCCTACCTGAGGTGGACCCCTTGTCAACGGGGTCTACCAGGCTTGCAGCCCTTGTTAGTTGGGTCTAAAGTGCTCGAACCCTGTTGTCTGGTGGTTTTATCTGGCTTGGACCCCCTATTATCAGGCTGTACTTGGCTTGGAGCCATTACTAGTTGGGACTACCTTGCTTGGACCCCTTGTTAGTTAGGCCTACCGGAGGTGGACCCCTTGTCAACGGGATCTACCTGACTTGGACCCATTGTTAGATGGGTGTAAGGTGCTTGAACCCCGTTGTCTGGTGGTTTTGTCTGGCTGGGACCCTTTCCTTACTCCTGATAATAGCTTTGTATGGCCCTATCTTTCCAACACATACAGCTGAGTCGTGCTTTAATCTCATAAGAGTGGACAGTGGTTAACACAGATCGGAACCTGGCATGTTTATTTCAGACTTTAATCTGAACAGCAAACTCTGAGCAACACAAGAACTGTCAAACATTCAGGTGTCATACTCTGTTTCTTGTAGTAGTCTTCCCAGGCTTTACTGTAGTCCGTCATCATGTTCTGAGGCTGGTTCTGCTGACCTATAAACACAGAAGCTCACATTAAGCCCGGATATTTCAGAGCGACTGATGATTCCTGACGGTTAAACTCTCTCTCTGTTCATCTCTTCCCTCAGAAAGCTGAGGCAGGTCCTTTGTTACTGAGTGCATGTGTGTGTCTGTGTGTGTGGACTTGCCTAGCTTCTTATAGTACTGATCCCATGCTTTGGAGTAGTCCATCTGTCCTGTCTGAGCCAAACTGTGACCTACACACACAAACACACACCGTTTCAGCTGCTACCCTTTAGGAAGTATCCTGCACATCTCCAGCAGCTGCTTAAGATCCTGACGTTCTGTTCCTCCACATCGCAGAACATGAAGTTTACATCAGCCTGATTTTCCTGTTTATTCTCAACGTAGAAAGCAGTCAGAACCCAGAACTGTGCTGAGGTCTGGGCACTGAGTCCAACAGGTGGGGTGGGTGGGGGTCTTACCTGGGTCCTGTTGTCCAGGGTTCTGCCAGCTGCTCTGGGCATGGTAAGTGCTCCCCCAAACACCAGTCACGAAGGGCTGACCGCTGCTGCAGACACAAAACATCTGCTTACAACCTTCATCAGCTGACCTGTGCCGGTCTGGAGAACATCGACCAAAGGAGCCCCTCTACCTGAGCTTCCTTTGATTATAGGAGCAGAGAAAAGGACTGAGTAACGATTCTGTTGGTTTATCAGCATGGAAGAGTTTCAGATTTAACTAAAACTATTCAACAACTAGTTATCTGAGCCACAAACTGGAAACCAGTCATTCCTTTAGAAATCAGCGTTTAACCACATCCCTCCACCCTGAAACTGGCTCTGGGCTCCACTTCAGGAAACAGAGTGTGAAGAACCTTTGGTGGTCGAATGAGGAAGATGTGATTCTAAGTAGAACTGGTAAAAAAAACGTTTCCTCACAGAGCCACACATTGCTGGTCACAGGGGCGGATTCAGCCAATACTAGGCGGATGTCTGGGGCCAAAATTTCCTGAGCTAACAGGCTAACGTTAGCCCGTCCGCAGCAGCCAGGGCTAACGTTAGCCCGTCCGCAGCAGCCAGGGCTAACGTTAGCCCGTCCGCAGCAGCCAGGGCTAACGTTAGCCCTGGCTGCTGCGGACGGGCTAACGTTAGCCCGTCCGCAGCAGCCAGGGCTAACGTTAGCCCGTCCGCAGCAGCCAGGGCTAATGTTAGCCCTTTCTGGAACTAGTTTGACACCTGTGATCTAGAGACTATTAATAACAGCTCCAGACAAGCTTTGAATGTGGTGATGTCATCAGTACGCTTCTGTTCTAATTGACCCAGATCTATGTTGCGTGCTCCCGTTCTCCCCGAGTCCAGACTTTCCTGGGTTCTAGTAAAGAACAGACTTGGCGAGAACACGAGTCTGTACGGCGTTCTTGTGAATTTAGAAATGGCCACCATCTCTTTGTAAACATCAGATATCCTGGTATGTATATTATTTATAGCAGGAGAACTCATCACTGGGATAAACCCATATGACACGTTCAGGTAAAACCTGCAGTAATTATTATTTAGATGAACATCAGGGAATTTATTTTCTTATTTTTAATGGGAGATGCTGAGGAACAGGACGGGCCTTCACTGGTTTGTGTTTTGATGATTTTTAAAGAGCAGAAAGGAAGCGATTGTTTCTGCATTAAAAATAAATGTCATAGTTTAGTCTGGATCGAGGAGGGGGGGCGTGAAGATCAGCGACAGAGATTATTCACCATTAATCCACTTAAATATGATCTGCTTCTGAAGCTTAACGCTACAAGGTTTTCAGGGGAAAGAACTATATTTAAGATTACTGTAATCTTATGTTCTTCCTGTTAACTGACCTTTTCCTTCCTTCATTTTCACATCGTTTTAAAAAAAAAAATTAAAATGTAAAAAATAAATATGGTTAATTTTACCTCGATCATTTTGACGGCTCTATTAGTTGCATTGTAATTTCTTCCCGCAGTTGATTGACGTTTGGTATTGTTGCCTAGCAACCAACATCCTTTTAGAGGAAATCTAACCGTGAAACAGGCTTTAGAAATCCTTCAAAACATACATACACATAGAACACAAATAATAATAGCGTACAATACAGCCTTTGAACAATATATATTGGACCTGTTTTGAGGTTTACATATCCACAATGGGTCTAGAACCATCTCAGCTGATGACATCATCACTACTCATGCGTTCCATTGGGAAAAATGTCACCCGTCAAACTAACGTCCTGTGGGAGTTCTAGTAGGATCAGAACTCTGGGAGTCTGAGTGTTAACGTCCTGCAAAGATTCACGCAACATCAAAAAGTCTCTAAAAGCCAAAGGTGAGCATCTCGATCTGTGATTAACTTCCACCCAGCGGAGAGTTCAATGCTCCCCGCAGGAAAGCAGGCGCCTTCCCTGGAGAGGGAGGGAAGAAAGACTGCTTTAATTAGCAGGGATCGTAATGACGAGTAGATATTGGAGTTTAGCTAACCTACAGTAAAGGTTTATTCTGGGTCCTAGAAGGCAGATTATTTAACCGATTATTCGTTACCAAGTCTCCTCGACCCGCACTGCATCATGGGAAACGGGTGAAAACAATGATGCCTCCTTCAGAACGGACTGCATTGGAAGGACCGCCATCAGGTCCGCGCAAGTCAACTAGCGCAGTGCCTGAACCTAGACCACCATCACAACAGGGAGCCTTTGGAACCAACCGGTCTGGATCGGGGATCAGAACCAACCGGCCGGGATCGGAACCAACCGGTCGGGATGAAGGTTCAGGTTCTTACTTCTGGTGAGCAGCCGGAGCGGCAGTGAAGGGACTGAAGCCGAATCCTCCGTTACTCATGATCCCGGAGCCCTGCAGGAGGAGAGCAGAGCAGACAGAACCGGGTCAGCCAGGACGGGTCCGTTTTAGCTGGGCGGGTGCGTTTGCTTTGCGTACCCCGATCTTATCGTCGATGAGCTGGCGGGCCACCTCCATCTGCTGGGCGGTGCCCCTGATGGTGAAGACCCGGGTGTTTGGGTCCGTGGAGGGCGGCGGGTTCCTCTGCAGCTCCACGTGAGCTCCAGACTGCTGATTGATGCTCTTGATGGTTTCTCCTCCTGCATGAAGACACCAGAGTTAGAAGGTCAGCAACCGACCACTGTCCTCCAACCAGGAGGTCCACCTATCCTCAGACCTCCAGATGTTTCCACATCCTTCAGCTACACAGCTTCTACCCAAAGCTGAGATTAATGGGATGAATCATCTCCTGACCAGGTTCTGTCCTTCAGAACCACCAGACCAGTGGACAGCTCCGAGTGGTGGTCCAAAGAGAGATTCCAGCATTAGAGGACCTCATGGTCCAAAGGCTTCAGATAGGAGGAGATCCTCCAGGACCTCAGAGAGTTCTGAATTCCTGCTTCTTCTTTTCAAACAATGATCAATCAACATCTCCAGGAGCAGGAAGGACAACCAGTTCTAGTCTGAGGAAACCAGAAGATCAGTGTCCCCACACTGAAAGTCTGAATGGGACCAGAACAGTTGGACCCAAATCCTTCCTGACCAACCAAAGAACAGCGACACCTGGAGGAGGTTCTGAATGAAGATCTGCGGGTCCATCTGAGGGCAGGAGATGTTCTCACGGTGGAGACTAAGGATCATCCAGAGGAAACAGGATGATGATGAGAACAACGGCTGATCTGGTTCTGGTGGAGCGGGTTCCTATGGGCTCTCTGAGTGGATTGGATGGTTGGTTGCCATGGTTTCACGGCATGGTGGCTGTTATCAGCTTCTGATGTTCTGGGTCCATCAGGCGGCTGTGAGCGGCACCCTCCCAGTGAACAGGAGCAGTCGGAGTGATGAAGGAACCGCGGGTCTGAGCAGAACCTTCACTGGGTTCTGATCGGCTGCTTTGGCCCGCCCACCGCTGCTGACCCGGTGAGTCCTACCTTTGCCGATGACCAGGCCGCACTTGTCCGCCGGGATGGTGTAGGTCACTTCCTGCAGCGGGCCAGGGGAGCCCATCGTCCAGTCGCTGCGCCCTCTGACCCGGCTGCTTCGCAGGGCCGAGCCGAACCCGTCCCGCTCCTGCACAGACGGACCGCGGATCAGAGCCGGTTCCGACCCGGCTTCGGGGCCGGTTTTCCGGTGGGGAGGGGGGGGCTTACCTGGGCTGTCTGGATGAGCTCGTTGATGAGATGGACGGCGTGCTGGCAGCGCTCCGGCTGACCCATCACCATGGCAACACGCTCCGGACTGATCCCGTCATCTGAAACCAGGGCAACACATCAGAAGCGGGTTTTTAATTCATCAATTTTAAACACTAATATTTTTAACACTGTATTCAAAACACTGAAAATCTTACAGTGAATTTATATCTGGTAAAAATTAAGCAGCAAACAATTAATCTGTCGACGTTTTGGTGAACTACATCTAAAGCAATCTCCACTCAATGCAATCCAGCAGCTTCTAGCCAATCAAATTAGCTCATTTGGTCACATGACAACAGTAGGACTTAAAGGAATAGTACACCCAAAACATGATTAGCCTTCATTTTCTACTCCCCCCCATGCTGAACAACACTCTGGAGTACTTTTTTGATATCTCAAATGCATCTGGAGATCTGGGAGGCTTCTTGCTGTCTGCTGACATTCAAATAATGGAGGTCTATGGCGCCCGAGGCAGAAAGGTCCATAAAAGTCCACAAAAACGTGTCAATATTCCTCCATACTGCTCGTCCAATGTATTCCAAGTGTCCTGAGTGGGTAGCATCCAGAATTTACTCGAAACGAAGTCATTTAGAATGTTTTTAGAGCATAAACAGTAGTGTATAGGATTTCCTGAAAGCGCGTTCACGAGTCTACGGAAGCCGGCAGACCAAACCAGATGAAAGTGCGCATTCAGCGTCTGCTCTGCCAATAATGCAAGCGTAGAGGAAGAAATGTGCTGTTTACCTGTGCGAAGAAAGAAACAACGAAAGAAAAATGTCTGAGGACTTCAGTGTTGAGGAAGAGCATGAGTTCTTTGCCGAGCTGAATGTGCACTTTCATCTGGTTTGGTCTGCCGCGGTTTCCGTCGACTCGTGAACGCGCTTTCAGGAAATCCTATACACTACTGTTTATGCTCTAAAAACATTCTAAATGACTTCGTTTCGAGTAAATTATGGACGCTACCCACTCAGGACACTTGGAATACATTGGACGAGCAGTATGGAGGAATATTGACACGTTTTTTGTGGACTTTTATGGACCTTTCTGCCTCGGGCGCCATAGACCTCCATTATTTGAATGTCAGCAGACAGCAAGAAGCCTCCCAGATCTCCAGATGCATTTGAGATATCAAAAAAGTACTCCAGAGTGTTGTTCAGCATGGGGGTGAGTAGAAAATGAAGGCTAATCATGTTTTGGGTGTACTATTCCTTTAAGTTTGTTCTCGGCTGAATGAGGAGATTTCCTTTTTTAAATAGATATTATTATAAAACGTCAGCTAGCTACTAATAGACCACCATTAATGGGACTGAGTGAAATAACTGAGCTGATCACAGCTAGTGCAGCACCCCCGTCTGCCAAGGCTCTTGGTTTGATCCGGAAGAAGCGGCCGGCGGCAAACATTGTTTCTTTTTTTCTAACCAAATGAGCTGATTTCATTGGCTAGAAGCTGCTGGACTGCATGGAGTGGAGATTGCTCTGGATGGAGTTCACTAAAAGATCAACACATTTGCAGGCAAATTTTTAACAGATAAAAATTCAGTGGAAGGAATTTAATGTGTAAAATTGTGTTTTAAATTCCGTGTATAAAAATAAGAATGTTTCTTCCCTAATTTTCCTCCAATATTTAAAAATAAAATGTGATTTCCTTCTTTTTCTCATTTTATTTCATAGTTGAAGTTTACCTACGATGAAAACGACAGACCTCTCATTATTCTAAGCAGAACTTCCATAATGCGGACTAAATACTGTCTTTATTGTTACTGTAATTAGTAAAATTATATATTACTAAACAATATTATTTAGTTTATAATAAATTATTTAACTAATATTATAGTTATTAGGAACGTTAGTAAAAGTGTTCCTAATAATAACTAGTACAGTGTCTTTATAGTAATGAGTGGGTAATGCATGCTAACGCGGTTAGCGCTCGGGTTCCTCTCTGGGTCACGGACGGGCGGTTCTGACCTGCTTTGAATTGGACTCGGACTCCGGCGTCGTTCTGGATCTTCTTGATCATTTCTCCGTTCCTGCCGATAACGATGCCCACAGCAAACCTCGGAACCGGAACCTGTGGATGGATCGGATCAGAGGGGAGTGAGGCGCGGCGCCGATCTGAGATCTGAGCCGGGTTCTGCTTACGTCCAAACTGGTTCCTCCCAGCCGGCCTCCAAAGTCGCTGCGTCCGGCCCTGAAGTCTCCGTCCTTCTCTCGGATCACCTCCAGAACCAGCTCCTTGGCGGCCTACAGAGAGAAGCCGGGTTCAGTTTCTGGGTCGGCAGCAGAACAGCAACAACCCAGAAGATCCTGCTGCTCCGAAGGTTCTGACCGGAAGAACCCAGAACCTTCTCGTAGCGCTGGTTCCGCCTACCTGGACTTTGTAGGGGTCTCCAGAGATGCGGAGAGGTTTGTCGGCTCCGGTCGGCATGGGCCCGTCCTGGATCATCATCATCTTGACCCCGGCCCGCTCCTGGGAGAACCAGAACCAGAACACCTTCAGACTGGGTCCTGGGCGTAATCGGGGCGAGCAGAAGCGCTCCTCACCTGCAGCTGTTTGATGGTGTCGCCTCCTCGCCCGATCACCAGACCCACTTTGCTGGCTGGGATCAGCATCTCCTGGACCGCCGTGCCTCCGTCCCCGTCTCCATGGAAACCCGGCCCGTTTCTACACCGCTCCACGATCTGCACCAGCAGCCGCTTTGCCTGCCTGGAACACACAGCGAGAACAGATCCGGTTCAGGTTCCAACAACGGACAGAACCCGTGTTCTAGAACCTCAGAGGTTCTGATGAAGGTGGGACTCACTCGATGCTCTCGGGGGTTCCTGTCAGCGAACACGGCCGCTCCATCAGCCCTCCGCTGTCTGCAGACACACAGAACAAAGATCAGAACCAGGCAGCGGATCAGAACCTCAGCAGGAGGCCGGGCTCCATCAGAGACTCACCAGAAGCGATCTGGATCTTACATCCCGATTCCAACTGGATCCTGGTGATCTGCTCGCCTCCTCTACCGATGACTGTAGACGAAGATCACCATCATCATCACTACCATCACCCTCATCATCATCCTCATCATCATAGGGATGTACTCACTGAAGCCGACCATCCTGTCAGGAACCTTGTACTCCTCTGTCATCACCCTGCAGAGGAAGAGGAGAGGAGGAAGAGTTGATGCAGACTGACCAGCTTATTATGGGATGTCCTGCTGTCTGATCTCCTACCTTTGATGGCCCATGGCTGGAAGCTGGTTACCTACTGAGGAGAGACACTGGTTAGACAACATCTACTAGATCTACTCGTCCCATGTCCGCGGATCTACGCATTCTACTTCTACAATTCTACTCACCTCCGTCCTCTCCGGGGCGTTTCTGTCCGGGATAGTAGAGCGCAGGCTCCACGCCGCCTGAGGAGCTGTTGAGGTGCGACATGGTTTCTCCTCCCATCTTCCCCACAATCTGAGACAAACAGAAAGACGACAACAGTTCAGCATCAATAAGCTTCAGGTTACGGGTCAGAACCAAGGACCGAGGAACGACCCGTTTAGCTTTGGACTGATTCCTGATGGAAAACCAAGGAAGCTTCCCTGACATGGTTCCATGCATCTTCTAAGGAAACGGTCTGAGGAAGAGGAGGAACCTGGAAGCTAACAGGATTCTAGCAATGCAAGGAAATAAATGCCTTCACCTTCTGCTCCAAAGACCAGAGTCTTTGACAAAAATCTTGGTGTTGTTTTTGATCAGGACCTGTCATTTAAATCCCAGATCAAAGAGGTTTCTAGAATTTCCTTCTTTCATCTGAGGAATATTGCAGAAATGAGCAATCTCCTGTCCAGGGGTGATGCTGAGAAACTAGTCCATGCATTTGTTACTTCAAGGCTGGACTATTGTAATTCTTTACTATCAGGAAGTCCACAAACTGTAGTTAAAAGCCTTCAGCTGATCCAAAATGCTGCAGCCAGAGTTCTGATGAAAATTAAAAAGAGAGATCATATCTCTCCTATCCTGGCTTCTCTTCATTGGCTTCCTGTTAAATCCAGAATAGAATTTAAAATCCTCCTTCTCACATATAAAGCCTTAAATGGCCAAGCTCCATCTGATATCAGAGATCTGATTGTTCCTTATGTTCCTAACAGAGCACTTCGCTCTCAATCTGCAGGTTTACTAGTGGTTCCTAGAATTTCTAAAAGTAGAATGGGAGGCAGATCTTTTAGTTATCAGGCTCCTCTCCTGTGGAACCAACTACCAGTTTTAGTCCGTGAGGCAGACACCCTGTCTACTTTTAAGGCTAGGCTTAGAACTTTCCTTTTTGATAAAGCTTCTAGTTAGAGTGGCTCAGGTTATCCTGAGCTATCTCTATAGTTATGCTGCTATAGGCTTAGACTGCTGGAGGACATAGGGACCCCCATTTCATCATTCTGCTTCATTCTATCTCTATTCTCCCACTCTGCAGAATCTGTTAGTTCAATCTCTAACCTTCTGCTCTCTCTGCTTTTTCTCATAGTAGCTTCATCTGGTCTGTTCCTGTTTGGCTGTGACTCCATCCTGGAGAGAAATATCAGCTGTGCTGCTGCCATCAACACCTTTGTTTCTAGATGTTGGAGCTTGGCCTGTTTTCCAGTGTAGTCCTGTTTCTCTGACTGTGACTAACTGGATGTGCTCTCTTCATCCTCTGACATGGGAGCTGGCTCGGAGCTCGTCTGCCTGGCTGTGTGTTTCCTGGACGGGGCCGCCTGTGGAGCTGGTTGACAGTTGCCTTTTGTATCTATGCTTCTTTTTCTATGTCTGCTTCTGTCTCCTTGAACCCCAGTGGGCCTCAGCAGATGGCCGCTCACACTGAGCCTGGTTCTGCTGGAGGTTTCTTCCTGTTCAAAGGGAGTTTTTCCTCTCCACTGTCGCTACAAGCATGCTTAGTGTGAGGGATTGCTGAAGAGTCAATATCTACTATCTCTACATACAGGAAGAGAAAATCCTTCAAAGTCAGGGACTGGATGCAATCATCTGTTTTTCTTTAGATATACATTTTGAACCTTTCACCTGAGCAGATCTGATTGATCTAGATCTATAAAATGACCTGACATGATGCGAGTTGGATCTATAGAAATAAACTGAAAAGAACCTCTGACCCTCAGTGACCCAATCAGCAATGAGCGGCGCCACCACAGCGCATCACTCTCAGCTTGAACTGATCGGACCGCCGACCACACTCCTGGTTTCCATGACAACAGAAGCAATGCCCGCAAATGGCTTGAAAAAACAATATCTATGTCATTTCTATCATAGCTCTATGAGGGACAGCTGCTAGCGAGTCCCTGTTGCTAACATGCTAGGAGCGAAGGTAAAGAGAGCGAGAGGTTCTGATCGGGTTCAGCCCAAAGAACAGGAGGTCATGTGATCCAAACGACCAGAACCTGTAGGAAGTTCTCCACCAATAGAACAGAGCGACCCGCTGCAGCTCCCAGTTATGCTGCATGATTGGCTGAACATTACCACATGATGTAGAACGTTGTGGTTGCCCTGACAACGATAATAAACAATGCAGCGTCGGGAGCATCTGTAGCGTTAGCGCGTCTAATGACCAATGAAGGTTTACCTGATTGATAAAAGCTAAAAAAAATCAGTTTCTGGTGAACTAAGTAACCGTTAGACCACGATATAAAGAGGGAGAGTTGGGTAGCGCTGTAGCTAGCAGTAGCTAACAGGTTAGCCTCTTTTAGCTCGCTCAGTTAGCCATATTAGCTACGCTACTTTTAACTTTGTGTCAACAACAACCGTTTGTTTTCTACAAGTAGAATAAATGTTTAATTCGTCTAAAATCTCTATGAAAGTCATTTTTAAGATGTTCCATTTGTCCTCTGACCTCAGATCTGAATAAAAAGAATAAAAACAAACTAAAACTTTTTGCGTCTCCTTGTTAAATAGCAGAGCTCAGTCAGTCTTTCCTTCCAGACTGATGACTGTTTTCTACTTTCGGCTAATTTAGATCAAAATGTCCAATAAAAGCAAATAAAGGGAATGAAATGTTGAGCCTCCAGAGGAGATGTGATCCTTCAGAAACGGGTGTAATGAAGTTTGTCTGAGGGAAGTTTCCGTATGATGATGGGATAAGAAGGGGCGGAGCCCCGAGCAGATCTGGTAGCCATAGCGGCGCCCATAGCGGTTCCAGCTGAGATCATCTACACTGCAGGTAAGATACTGACGGCTACGCCCCACAGAACCAAACCCATCTGATCGTCTGGTTTATCTACAGCAGATAAAGCTATAGTGGAGGATTTTCACTAATGTTTGATAAGACCCGCCCACTTCACAAAAAAAATAAAAACATGCACATCCACAACCCTGTGCCGGCGTTAAACACGTGCGAGAGCTCACTTCTCCTCGTGCACACTCCGTCTAAAAGTTGCTGTTTGCATCATGGATTACCTTCCTAAAGAAGATTTCTCCAATATGTCTGATTCACCAGTCAGTGAAAATATGGAGGAGCGCGTAGGACGACCGGACGCAGCACCAGAATGATTGACAGCTAGGAGGACCACTGCCTTAGACAGGATTTATACAGGAAACAGGAAGTCCAATTTAATGCTCTAAGAAATAGTTTTATTGCCATATATTTATTTATATATATAAATAAAATGGCAAAATCCTTGGTGATCTTTACGGTGGACAGGCTGCAGCCATGATGTCCTGAATTCTTCGTTTTTCAGCCACTTTTGTTGAAATTCGCATTTTCCTGTTCTCCAGCCTTTTCTCCGCCTCCAGCCTTTTTTCCGAACAAACGGTTTTACGATCAACCGGAAACAGTTCCGCGCAAACCCGCAGAACCAGATATATCTGAGATAATATAGTCGCTGAAACAGTTTTTAATTATTGTTATTTTTTAATTAAAGAATTTTAAATGCCGGGATAATCACATTTTATTAATTTGAATGTCAATTAAAGCCTTCATTTAAAAAATAATTAAATGATTTTTAATGACACTCAAAAACCCGGTTGGCTGATCCCTCCAGAACCTCCTCTACACCTTTAAGGTCTCCTTCTAATAAAGTTCTTAGGAGGAAGTTCTGGTTCCCCAGAACCGGGCCGGCGGGTCAGCTCCATCAGTCCAGTAGTTTCTGTTTTAGTTCTTGGTTCTGATTAAAAACCTCAGAAATAAAAGATTGAAGACTGAAAACATCAGTCGGTACCAGACCCAAAAAAATGGACCCAGAACCGTTTCTAATTCTGTCAGAACTTTTTGGCCTTTTCATCCACATAGGACCTGTGGGTGGGTCAGAACAGAACCACCCGGAGTGGATCTGTTCTGGATCCCTGAGGGAGAACATCTCTGGTCTGCTGGGGAACCCGATCGGGTCAGAACCGCTCTGATGTTGGGTGGAAATCAATGCCATGTAGAGCGATGACATCAGCAGGCTGAGCGGCGCCGCCTGGTTCTGATGCCTGCTGAGGTTCTGCTCTCCAGAGTCCAGAACAACCTGAACCAGACGGCACCGTTTCAGAACCAGGGGAGGATCGGACCGGCCCAGATGATCGGCTCCACTTCACTTCTATTATTAATTTCTCTGTGTTGTGAAGAACCGACCCGGTTTAAACAACATGGAGAGAATGGTTGGTTCTGCTGGATCTGTTGGTTCCGCTGATTCTGTTGCAATCTGTCTGGTTCTGCTGGTTATTGTTGGATCTGTCTGGTTCTGTTTGGATCTGTCTGGTTCTGCTGGTTCTGTTTGGTTCTGCTTAGTTCTGGTTGGATCTGGTTGGTTCTATCTGGTTCTGCTGGTTATTGTTGGATCTGTCTGGTTCTGTTTGGATCTGTCTGGTTCTGTTTGGATCTGTCTGGTTCTGCTGGTTCTGTTTGGTTCTGCTGGTTCTGCTTAGTTCTGGTTGGTTCTATCTGGTTCTGTTTGGATCTGTCTGGTTCTGCTGGTTATTGTTGGATCTGTCTGGTTCTGTTTGGTTCTGCTGGTTCTGCTTAGTTCTGGTTGGATCTGGTTGGTTCTATCTGGTTCTGTTTGGTTAATTTTGTTGACTCGTTTGTTCTGGATCCATTTCCAGGATCATGGCCAGAACCTCTGGTTGCCTGTACAGGTGTGGTTCAGTTCGGTTCGGGCGGACCCACCTGTGCAGGTGACCCCGCCCCCCCTCCTCCGCCTGTTGCATAACACCAGCCTACTTTCTAGTTCAGCAGGTCCGGTTCCGCTGCCCCGGTGTGGATCGGAACCGCAGCGGGGTCCGTGTACAGCGGCTCTCCGGCTCCTCCGAACCCATCGGAACCAACAGGTTTCCCCGCAGACTCTGTGACACGTGTGGCCAAAACTTGGGTCCCCCCCCCCCGCCCTGCTCCTCCAGCAGACCCCCCTCCCGCTGACAGTCCCATAAACTCCCCCCAAACTAGCAGAGGACCCGCATGAGGCGGGACGAAGCGGACCGAACCGAACCGGCCTCCGGTCCAACTCCGAGCGGCTTTCGGGGCTAGTTAGCATGCTAGGCGTGTTTGTGCTGCGGAGCAGAAGTTCGGAGCAGCAACAGCTCAAAGAGCAGGAAAAGTGCTCCGACTCGGTCCAAACCCCGCGGCTCCACCCGGAACCGGTGTGTTCCGAACCCCGGAGGAGTTGTTACCTGCCGGGCCCTCTGCAGAACATCGACCAGGCCGTCTGACTTCAGCCCCGGCTGGTTCATCGAGGCCTGTCCCTGCACCAGCTCCGCCATCGCCGCCACTAGCCGGATTAGCCGCCGCTGCTAGCTGCTCAGAGATAGGAAGCGCAGCGAGATGTCTCACTCTGATCTCGTTTTCAGGACTGGATTCATTAACGTTCAATCAGGCTGTTCCTGTTTTCTCCTCACAAACATAAACATCATTTCTAACAGTTAACCTTCATCAGAGACATTAAGGCGCAACTTAACATATTTTAGAAATTAAAATATATATATAAATACCAATGAAGCTATAATAAAATAATAAAAGTTATTTGTGGGCAGTCATTTTTGTTTTATCCACTGAAATTTAATCATAATATTTTAAAATCAGTTTTGTATTTTCTTTTAAGTAATATTAGTATTTGTGTCATTTGTTGTTGTTGTTTTATATTTACATGTACAGAAAATCTAAATGTGCATATATATATCTAATAAATGTTTTTCCTCTTGACATTTTGATTATACAGTAAATCGATACCTTTGTTTTCCAAATTAAGACATTTAAATTCATACAACTCTTATTATTTTTAAAAACTTTTCCATATCAGAAAATCTGATATAATTCCTTCTTTGACATATTTTGTAATTTATTTATTTTTAAAAAGCCTCTTATATAGAACATTTTGATGTTCGGGGTTAATTTTCTGGCGTTTTTACTGAATATTTCAGTTTGCATCTTTTTGGTTTTGTAGTTTATAGTTAAGCTCCTTAATCATTTGCTTTTTTTCCATCAATAAATTAAAGTACAAATGAAAGCCCGTGTCTATCTAGCAAATGATGAAATAATTTTATTTGATTTTATTCATTTAGGTGTATTTTTACAGGAAGACTGAACATTGAACTGATGCAGCCCAGAGAGTTTCTGACCATTTTTTTTTTTTTTTTTTTTGTGGAAAATAGTTCCAACATTTCAAAGCGATGTTTTGATTTTTTTATTAATCCTTTTTTTTTGTTTTAAACTTAAAATAATACAATTAAATTCGTGTTTTAGCCAGTGTCTGTAGTAGACATCTTGTTTACAGACGATCTCTGGAAAAGCTCAGCTGTTGACAACTTGCTTCGCTGTTTCCACTTCCGCATGGAGTCACGTGTTTGATCCAGCTCTACAGGTGGAGAGAGCAGGTTTCTGGGCAGAAAAAGTTGACCTCCCACTGAGGTCGGGTTGGTGAACAGTTGGTCAGTGAGGCTAGTTAGTTGGGTTGGTTACCAGACTGGTTAGTTAATTCGATTCTATCCAGTTTATTTCTAGAGCTGCTATTCACAACACATGTTATCTCAGGTCACTTTCCAGTTCACCAGATCATCCAGTCAGATTGATTCAAAGTTTTCTATCTAAGAAAAAACAGTTGTCTCACCAATCATGCTTGTAGCAACAGTGGAGAGGAAAAACTCCCTTTGAACAGGAAGAAACCTCCAGCAGAACCAGGCTCAGTGTGAGCGGCCATCTGCTGAGGCCCACTGGGGTTCAAGGAGACAGAAGCAGACATAGAAAAAGAAGCATAGATACAAAAGGCAACTGTCAACCAGCTCCACAGGCGGCCCCGTCCAGGAAACACACAGCCAGGCCGACGAGCTCCGAGCCAGCTCCCATTTCAGAGGATGAAGAGAGCACATCCAGTTAGTCACAGTCAGAGAAACAGGACTACACTGGAAAACAGGCCAAGCTCCAACATCTAGAAACAAAGGTGTTGATGGCAGCAGCACAGCTGATATTTCTCTCCAGGATGGAGTCACAGCCAAACAGGAACAGACCAGATGAAGCTACGAGGTTTCAGCTAAACAACAACAGGAAGCAGAACAGTGTGTTTCATCACTTTCACTCTTAATTCTGTTCAGTGAATTCTGAGGTCGTTAATCTGACAATTTCTGTCATTGTTTCTGGGAGGGGGGGGTTTAGGCAATACTAGGCAGCTGCCTAGGGCCCCAAGTTCCTGGGGGCCCCATAAAACTCTGTTTCCATGTATGATTAATACAACTATTCCTTATTTCTGCACATTAATTATGTTTTGATAAAAATCCTTTGGCTAAAATGCCATCAGAACGCTGATAATATTAAGTGTGTCTCAGCCCCCCCCCTTCAGTGTCCACCATCTTGGATCAGTCCATTTGCTGCACATGTTCAGAAAGGTCCAAACAGACAGCAGCAAACCATTTGAAAACAAACCATGCAAAGAGCAGTGTTGCTAACTTAGCGCTTTAGTCGCTATATTTAGCCACTTTTCAGACCCCTCTAGCACTTTGATTTCTAAAAAGCTCCTAGCGCCAAATCTAGAGACTTTTTTCTGCTACTGGAGACTTTGGAGACAACATCTAAAAGCAGCGAACTCTGCTCTCCAGAGCGAGTAGATTGGTAACCCCGCCTCCTGCTCTCCTCTATCTTGTCTGCTGTCATGATTCATGCAGCTATTATTTCATCCAAATGAAAAATGGAGAACAGATAAGCAGATCATGGCTTGTCTACAGTGAAAAGAAGGACTGGGTTATTTACTTTGGCCTTTTTGGAAACACAGGAAGGAGCAATCAGCTAAGTGAGCTTAGTGCTTGGAAAAAATCTTTCATTCCTTTAGAGACAGCATGAAAAGTCAGCTGAGTACAAAACATAGAGAGGAAAACAAGAAGAAAAGGGACAAGAAGAGAGGGACACAACCTAGAACAGAGAATGGATGTCTATTCTATTAACATTTCTACATCTGGAGAATGGGGCTGTTCTATGTCGTCTCCATTCAGAGGGCCCCCTGCCTGTCTTTGCCTGGGGCCTCAAATTTCCTAACTCATAACCGTCCTTTGTGGTTTTCTGATGTTTCTGAGCTACACCTTCTGTCAAACCTGCATTTGTTGATTGGCTATAATTAACATTTATCCAACACTTTTCACTGCATGGTTAATGAAAACAAAACTGTACTAGGGCCCCAGATTTTCTAAATCCGCCCCTGGTTTCTGGTAGAATGTTTCATCCATGAGTAGCTCTGTATGCGAACGTTAGATGTTACCTCGGTTAAAAACAGCAGAAAAGAAAGAAAGGATAGAAATTAAACTTTATTGATCCGATGTTGGAGAAATTCCCTCTCTGCATTTAACCCCTCCCCTTGGGGAGCAGTGTGGGGTTAAGGGTCTTGCTCAGGGACCAGGCTCGGACTGGGAATGATTTTCGGCCTTGGCGTTTTTCCATCTCCACAGCCCACCTATTAACCAGATTGGGAAACATCCCAACCTGGCAACATTGCATGTAAGACGGGAAACGTTAGCCTTAAGATGCAAAACCCATCATGCACCTCAACATGTTTTTGCAAAATATTCTAACATAAATTCGCCAAATATAAGAGGACCATTGTAGTTTGGTTTAAAGAAAGCATTTTAGTTTTATAATAATTTAGTTTGTTGCAAAGATTTTACAGTTTGAAGAAATAGAAAATGACACCATATGCCAACCGTCAGGATGAGCATGAAGGAAGGGCTGTAGATGCTGCATGCATCATTTAGGGAGTTAACACTGGATCACTGCTTCAGCTCCTTCAGGTATTTACTGTCACAGGTAGGAGCTTGGGCTGGGGGTAAGTGTTGGGGCCGGTACTGGAGGAGGGCCGGCTCTAATTTAGGACCAACCCACGGGGCAAAAGCCCACTATCACAGATTAGCAGTCCCAGTCTGTCAGGGACCCAGATAGCAGTCTGTGGGAGTGGGGCTCGAACTCAGAACCTCAGTATCCCAACATAGTGCTCTATCCACTACGCCACCGCTCCTGTGTTGTGTCTCTGAGGGGATGCCACCAATATTTAGACTTAGACTCAGCTTTATTAATCTCGTGGAATTACTCCTTCAGGGAAAGTCTGCTCTAGCAGCTTATATAGAGAACAAAGAGTTACAGCAAGCTGCCATTAAAGATAAAAATACAACAGACAATATAAAAAGAGTGTAAATATTACACAAAAGCATTTTAAAAATGTTTCATGTCCTGGAATATGTTTCCCTTAGATATAGAAATATCTGCAGAGCTAAAGGCCTGGTTATCCTCCCTCAGCAGCGTGTCACAGTGAGCGTATGGCAGCTATGATGCAGATATGTTTGATTTCTGCCCAGTATTGAAGCGTGGTCTGCGCTATGTTATTCCACGCCACAACGCCGGAGGGCCAATCAGGAACTAGCTGTGGGCCTACATACGGCCGAGGCGGTGAAGAAATGGGGGCAAGTTTATGCGACGACGGAGGGACATGAGGGCCAAAAAGAGCGGGGGTCCAGGTGGAAAAAGGGTCCCAGCGTTCTCACCTCGCTCTGCTAGCTGCTCCATCTTCACCAGTCGTTTTCCACAATGGCGGTCAGACAAACAAAACAAGCCGGTAAGGAACCAAACAGGAAATACGCATAGAGTAGAGCGGATGGAGATTGACCAATCAGAGGCCTCCTGTCTGCGCTCAACTATAATTGTGGAGAGTTGCAGCAGAGTGTCTGCGTTCACTGCAACACACACAGACGACCTGGTTTCCAAGTATAAATCAGCCTTCAGGCAGAGCTAAGGAAATACTGGTAGACTTGGATTATTGCACTTGTACTTGTATTGTACTTTTATTTAAAATTAATATCAAGGCTTATGGCAAACAACAACCTGAGAGGTCCTGGTGAGCACCGCGGGGAGGAGGCGGGCAGATCGATCCAAGGATCGATACCAACGCTGGTATCGATCCTCATTTAACAAGATTGATACTTTTCAAGTGTGCGATCACTTCCACCATAATGAACTTTTTGAAGAGTTTCAGTCTGGCTTTAGAGCTCATCATAGCACTGAAACAGCTCTGGTGAAAGTCACTAATGATATTCTCATGGCCTCAGATAATGGACTTGTATCTGTGCTCGTCCTGTTGGATCTCAGTGCTGCATTTGATCCAGTTGATCAGAATATTCTTTTAGAAAGACTTGTTGGAATTAAAGGAACAGCTCTAGACTGGTTTAAATCTGATCTATCTGATCGATTTTAGTTTGTTCACATTAATGATAGATCTTCAACATGCTCAAAGGTTACCTGTGGAGTACCACAGGGATCAGTGCTAGGACCAATCCAGAGGATGGATGGATGTCTGCAAAAAGC